TAAAGTAATTAACGGTAGAAAGTAATTCAAAATGTAGCTTAGTACTCAATGTCTTTACAATGAACATTGAGCATTGTCTTTGCACCTGCATTGTTCATTGTGGGGAATAAAGCAAGTGCTCGAAGGCGAAAATGGGGTTCGTCTATTTTGAGACGATTTATTGAATCCACCTTTATGATGAATCAACATTGAATCCCTCAAAGCGAATCAAGAAATTTTAATCTCCCTTCAGAAGAGAAGGATCAGTAATGCACATGCATTTTTCATGGTTTGTAAAACATTTTTTTTTCGTATTATTCCGTCATTGACCAGCATTGCTAATGACCGATGCCTTGCCTGGAAGATATTGTCATGGTAATGCGTATATTTACGTACTGCTGCACCACGCTGCAAGAACAGAGAAGATAGAGTCGGGATCCAGAGAAGAGGCACTATTTTTATTGATAATCAAACTTTTCTTGCGTTCCCACGTAACGTGTGTTCTCTTAAGTTTCTGTTGCAATATCATTGAAATTCAAAGCTCTTCAATGAATAAATAACAATTACACGGCCAGATTTTTCGTCCACGAGCTTAAAAGGTTTTACTGCAAATTCCCTAACAAAGGTCTACGGTAGTTTTTGCTGCAATCAATCCCTGATTTAGTGCCCATTTATCAGGGGTTGGTGCGAATGCAGCAATGAACTAATCGCCTCCTGATTAGCGGGTCCAATCCAAGACAATTTTCGTAGACGCCAAGTCTATCCAGTAGCGTAACGGTCAAGTTGTGATGACAACCTTTTGTCAGCAAACAGATCGTTAATAATATAATCAAGGGATCCACTTTTTTTGCTTTTTAATCCTTAATCCAGGCGTTCAGAACATCTCGTTTTATCTCGCATTCTGATGAATTATCTCGTCTTGTCTGAAGTTTTTATGGCAAGTCTCTTTTTGTATTTTTTTGTCTCGCAAAGTTCCATTATATCTTTGACTGAAGTTTCGAATTTTGCAATATAAATTATTGTCAAGATTTTTAATAACGTATTTTATTCACAATTTTTTCTCCTTTGCCTCGTTCTTTTCCGGGATATTTCTCGTCTCGTCTCGCTGTCCCGGTTCATTTCAAGACATTCCGTGTCACTTGAATCTGTCATTGAATTGATAGGCCGCAAACATCATGGCCGGGGCTTGTTGCGGCGGCGGAAGGATTTGCTGCGCGTCATTTTGGCGCGCTGGTCGTCGCCGCGGTCCAGGATCTCGGCCAGTGGGTGCGCCGGGCTGCTGCCGGCAGGTCGGTCGCGGCGCAGTCCTCGTGAGCGTCTGTGAGTACTTTATTGTTATAATGATAGTAAAAAACATTTTCATTATTAATAGCGCGATTATAATCATTAAAAACAAACTAGCATTTTCAAATTATCTGAACATAAAGAGCACGAAATATTTGATGAAGTCTCAAAATTAAAATGCATTTATTGCTCCATCACGTGGGCACCTAAATGACGAGCTCGTTGCCAACAACTAAACAAGTTAATTGATTTACCCCATATTGAAATCGAAAAAACATTGTTCTCTATATTCTTGGTAATCAACTTATACAGTTGGCAATCAACGAATATATGAGAATCCCTGATCCCCACAAGTCAGCCCCATTGGAATATTCGATTTCAATTAATTTTTAAGGAATATTTCATGATGAAATTGATACGGAATTGCCTGAATAAGATTATGGGGCAGATGTCACAAATTTCAGATCTAAGTTAATTGGTTTTAAGTGACATTGGTGAAAATAGAAGTATTATTAATTTGCCCCAAACAGTTGCGAGACACCACTACAAACACCATCATGACAGGCCACGAGAGTTGACATATCAGGAATACCCACAACCCGGTCTGAGACTGGAAAGTATCGATGAAAGATCAGTAGCATTTCTGTATTACTAGAAAATTCATAGTAGCATTATTGTATTCCTGCAAAATTTATACTATAGGATTCCTGCAGAATTTTTAATAGTATTTCAGTATTCCTGCAGAGTACATAAAAGCAAGCACTTTAATAGATGTAGGCTTCGCATAACTGAGTCTGGCGGGGAGTCAAGTGCGGTTCACGAGTTGAAAATTGAACTGTAACTGCAAGTAACGACAAGCAAACAGTTTCGGTGACATTGCCTTGATCTGTGTGCTTCACATCAAACTTTATACAGACCGATATTATTAGACTCTCACCTGAATGTTGATGGATGGCATCAATGTTATCAGGTAGCTTGACACGTTATGTAGTGCACCTCCCAGCATCACCACTAGAATTCGATAGCATCACCGATGTCACCACTAGAAGTTGATAGCATCACCAATATCACCACTAGAAGTTGAAAGCACACCCGAGTGTCACCACTAGTGCCAGATTGAAGTACTACGAAGTGTCACAATTAGTATTTCAAAGCACCACGTTTTGTCACCACTACAACTTATTAGCAGCGAATGGCACCACCAATAGTTCAACTCATAACAAAGTTTCACCACAAGTGCTCGAGTAAGAACCGACAAGCCTTTCCAAATATCCGGGATTATTCATAGTAAGCGTGTTATTCTGAATAATCATAAGCGGGTTATTATTATTCACCAAGTTAACAATTAGAAATTATGGCAGCAGAACTAAGCCTCAGCACGAGTTAGTCTTCTTATTCCATGATGTGCGAGAACATAGCATTCATTTTTAAAAATCTCTATTACCATGCAACGAGCTATACACAGCTTACCCATCAAGCTTTTCCTCAGCTTCGGCTCATTTGGTCTCTGAATAATGATATTTTAGTTTCACATATTTATTCTAACAAGCTTTCTTGGTTTCATATCAGTACACTGATTGGTTGCCTCACTCACACTTCCGATAATCGCAGTTAATGTTTCTGTACATCAAAAAACCAAGCCCAAGTAAAAAAAAAAGCATTTTCATGCTTACATTTCTTTTGGACACTTGCCTCGCATCAATAATGCATCGAAAACAGATTTGCAATAGAGCAAACTCTATACATAACCAGCAAAATGATTGCCGGTTCGATCTACTACCTGAGGCTGTAGACATTGAAAAATCACTAATTGAATGATTCCTTAAATACTCGCAACCAAAATTTGCTGCTTGCACCCTAGCCGGTCTGGGATACAGTTGCTCATGTAATTAATTGCTATCCTGAGTACACAGATTTCGAAATTTTCTTAAGCTTGAGCACAATTCAAGAAATTGGACCAAATAAGTTGTAAGTAAGACAGGATCAAGTAAATCGATATTGCATAATCGTGCGAAGCAGGTAGCGTGCTAATGCCAACAGGTCTCAACTTCACACCTATGTTCAGATTACTAAACGTGGCTGAGCACGCTAGATGGCTCATTAGCCAATGAAGTTTGCTTTAAGCAAGAGTGCCGTAAGTCCGCAGCCACTGCATTGCACGTGTAGATCTAAACCTACCCCGACTTCCCACCGCAACAAACCTAACCGGGTACTTTATACCGCAACGGGGTACTTTATACCGCAACAGGGTATTTTATACCGCAACAGGGTACTTTATACCGCAACGTGGTACTTTATATCGCAACGGGGTACTTATACCGCAAGCCATTTACTTCATCAGTGTTTTGCGGTATATCAAGCGTGGTTTGCGGCATATTTAGCCGGTTTGCGGCATATTTAGCCTTGATATAAACAATGTACAAGAATGAACACGTTTTCACCAGTATGTATATGGTACACAAGCACCTAAATGTTGCGTATTGTGTAGATGTAAGTGTAACACATGCAAATTGAAGTGAAATATGTATCCCGAAGTATCCAGGTAACCGCTGTATCAACAAATGCAGCTTTCGCAGTACCACCTCTTAACAATTCTATCCAGATGACCAATATGCAGCTACACGGAAAAAAGAAACCCGATTTGAGACACAGGAGGATGTACAC